TTCCCTACCCCTCGCACCTCTCTCACACACACACACACACACACACACACACACACACACACACACCCACAAAAGAGAAACTCAATGACACAAAACTGTAGACCCAAAGTATACAAGAGGCAATTCAACTACACATCTAGTTCTGCCACGGCTACTCAGATTTTGACACCCTGTAGCTGAAGTCTAGCCCCTGGAAGTGAGCCCTAACAGACAAACCAAAAATAGTACAGAATCACACTCTAGTGTCCAAGACATCTTCATTGAGGGAGAGAAGTGAAACACTTCACTTTTATTTCCTGCCTGGTGTCCCCAGAGCTTAATCTGGTCTTCCCAGCTACTTAGAGGTTTGCTTTATTGGTCTGTCTGTTGGGACAGGAATGCTTTAGCTAATCCAATGGGAATGGAAAAGGAACTTTAACTCTCTTCTGCACTTACCTCCAAATAGCTTGGTTGCTAGGCACTTATATTAAGGAAGTCAGAGATCTTGGCCCTGCTAATCCCAGTAAAACCCTATGCCAAGTAAATAGGGGTCTTCTGTTGTGCACGGGAAATTAAGATGCCCCTTATAAGTGGAAGCCTCTTTCATTAGTCCCGTGGTATCTACTGTTTGCAGGGTATCTAGCACAGTCAGGCTGCAACCTGTTTGAGGCCTCTAGGCATAACTGCAACATAAATGTTAAATACAATAATCATGAAAATGCACTGGCAGAAAGTTACCATTTGGAGAAACTGCCAGGTGACTGAAGAGTGCAATAGCAGGAAACTAGTGATATTACCACCACCACTCCCCGTTTACCTACTCTCCACTGGATGGGAACACTAAATATGCTTTCTGTACTTGAGGGCAAAGGGCAAACACACAAACACAAGTGCTAGATTTTTGGTTTTTAGCTCTAATCTGCTTTTCTTACCTCTGTCCTGCAACACCATATTTTAATCTAGAACATTTGAAATCCTTTGTGGCTCCAAACAAACATAAATGCAACAGTTACAATCCCATACTGTATTCTGGACACCCAGTTTGGTCCACAGCTTCTCCTATCATCTCAAACCCCTCAGTCTTGCTGGATCAAAAAATGAAGCTTGTGCAGAGCACCACACGGCAGGGGAGCCCTACTCCGATGCATCATGCCCCAGGACCCCCATCAAGACACTTTGGGGCGTGGGGGAAATCTGCTCCACACCTCAACAGGGTGATATCTGTGTCAAGGACTGCGCCATTGATCCCAGTTACCTGAGGGTGTTGGTTTTAGGTGCTGTACGCCAAGCCATAGAGAACTACCTCCCCTGTGCACAAAACTGCATGTGTGGAGAGGATAGTCCCCTCTTCCCATGCTGTTCCTCCTGCCTCGGGATTTCTCCTTTGCACCACAAACAAGGCAGTAATTTCATCTCCTCCAAAGCAGACAGAACCGCTGCCTCCAGCCTGAGCTGGGAAAGGCCCAGTCTCCAGGGGCCCACTGGCAGTGTTAGTAAATAGACCTAGTCACATGGCATTTAGAGCTGGTCAGCAGATCACCCTCTTGGCTGTCCTGGCAGCCAGGCAGAGTGGGTAGCCCTAGTCTAGAACCCTCCCAAGAGGGACTACTGTGTCTGCCCCTGGGAATCATGTCCCTTACCTCCCCCTGCACACACACACAAAAAAAATTAAAATAAAAAAAAATCATTTCTCCATTTCAGACTTAGCTCGAATGAGTTTCAGGATTTCAGATTCTCCAGCCTTGTGCTATGCATTCAATTGCTACAGCCATCAGCTTAATTCAGAACCACTCTCCCTGCCTAAGTACTTATATCAACCTATCATCAGTATCTGACCTCCGCATATACACAACAGCAACGCTTGTAACTGCATCACATTCAGACAAGTGGATTTTCCCAACAGTAAATCATTAGAAGAGGGTAAAGGCGAAGACACTCCCACCATAACCATGTTTTAAACAGGCAAGCTACTTGGGGCACTTTCTGCCCCTTTCAAGCTCTCATACCTGTTGTCTTCACATCCCCAATCCCTCCAGGGGCCCCTGCTTTGCAGAGCCTGGATTGCCTGACATCAACCCCCCAACGAAATGCAGCAGACAGAGGGTGTTTTTAGGAGCACTTGTGAGAGGGTGGCTCAGAATGGGGAAGGTGCAGTTTCCAAAACTGGGATCCCTTGAGAAAGAAGGACGTCGAGAGCTACCTCGCCTCCAAATTACAAAGAGGGGATGAATGCTGAACGGATGCAAGACATCTCCCTCCTCCCCTACCACCCCCAAAATCAGTGCAATAGGCTCCTACGGAGATGCTTTTACCTGGAGCCCCTCATTCCAGGGGACAAAGAGCATCTGATTAAAGTGAGGGGAGATAACTAAATGCATCCACCCCAATGCTACATTCTCCAGTCGCAGCAGCGGGGTTTGTCACGACCCTCCCTCTCCCCGCCTAGGCTGCCTCGGCCTCTGGGCACAGACCCAGCCCTGGGCAGAGGGCGCCCCCTGCCCCGACATCCCCCCCATACACACCGCCCGGGAAGCCCATATTTCTGTTGCGCAGGTTTCTGTGGTTAGGTGACAGATTTTCAGAGCGCCCTCAGCAGCTCGCTGCCTCAGTGCCCCTGCGCCGCCTCTGCCCCCCCCCCCGCCTTTCTCTGGCGCAGCTCGCTCCGGCGCTCCCCCCAGCGCCCCCAGGCACTTACCAGCCCCAGCGCAGCAACCCTCTGAGCGTCCCCAGTGTAGACGGAGCGGGGCGGCTGGAGCGAACCACGATCCTCCTCTCCAGGCAGCTCGGCAGCTCCCTCCCCCTTCCCGCAGGCTCCCTCCCCCTTATAGCTGCTCAGTCGAGCCTGCTAGCCCTGACTGCTAGCTGGCTGGGCCTATACTCACCAGCTAGCACATAGCAACATCCAGGCGGTTGGTGGGAGCCAAGCCCCGCCCATTTTGGGGAGACCAATCAAGCAGCAGGGCCAGGCCCATCTCCCCTCCCCCGCACTGTCCTGGAGTAGTAGGTTGCAGGGAGCAGACAACAGCTGGCGAGCAGGCAGCCAATGGGAAAGAGGCTGGCCCTGCCAGCATGGGAGCTGGGAGGGAAGATAACAAACAGCTGCGTTTTCTCTTAAAGCTACAGGCCTGCAGGAGCAGCATCGTCACCTTGCACGGGGCAGCTGCTTGCACGGGGCATCAGAGCACCCAAGGGACAGCAGAGGTAATCACCTCTCAGACAAGGCAATAATGCACTGCCCCTCTTTCTCCCAACCAAAGCTACAGGACTAGGGACCGGAAAGGATCTGCCAGCGGGTTTAGAAGAGCAGCCTGCTCAACACCAGAGTTCCTTGGGGACATGGTTAAGGTAGACAGGCCCATGAGAAGAACAACATAACATAAGGGACAGAGCGAGGGACCTCTCTCTGGTAGAGATGACCTGAAGAACCTGCTAAGGACCAAGCTTCATACTGTGTAATCGTCCATGTCTGTTGGGCACTATGGTCTAATTCTCAAGTGGGTGGATGCCAAGGCTGTATGGAGCAATCTCCTTTCATCTAGGGTTATGCCACCCTGCAAACTGGAAGATTCAGTGCATCACCATCAGGCTGTTCTCTAAAGCATATGCAACAGGTTTTTATTCAAACTAGTTTTAATAACCATCCTTTGCATTGCTATTGTATCTTCTATCAGAGAGTCTCAAAAGACCCTTTACCAGTAAGTAGATAATGTTTTCACCCCTCACCTCATAGAGAGCCGAGAAGCGACAACCGCAACAACAACAACAATTAGCATTTATATGGCACTTTTCATCCACAAACTGCAAAGCACTTTCCAAAGATGGCTAAACATAATTATCCCCATTGCAGAGATGGGGAAACAGAAGCATTGAGAATGTAAGTGACACAGCAAATGTATTGCAGAGCCAGGAAGCGAGGTTCCCATACTTAAATTTTAGCCATATAGTCATACTCTCCTAACCTAAGGGATGAGGCATCCAGCAATTCCTTAGGAGAAACTATTCCACCAGCTCATCTCCCTTGTGGTTAGAAAGTTTCCTCCAACTTTTCAACCTAAATAGGAAAAACATGGGTAGCAGTTACACTGCAAAATGATGCTAGTCAGTGAAATTTTAAACGTATGATCATTTTAATTTATATTAAAAAGTCCACATATGCCTGAATTTCTATTCAAATCTCTCTTGCTATCCAATGTGAAGCTTGCTTGTATTTGAGACATCTTTACTCTAGTGCTTCTCTTTCCAAGCTGGAGAAGCAAGTCCCTTGTCCTGAGTGCCTGGTCTCACCAAAGATTTTATGAGATTTATTTTCTGAAAGTAATAAAGGTTGGGAAAGTTAAGGGGTGACACTTTCCAGTGTATTATTGCAGGAAAGACTGATAACTACAGAGTACCTTAGTAACTACATTGTCTATTGTTCATCTCCATAATATTTTGGCAACAATAACTGGTAGCAGTGACAAAGGATTAAATATGTTGTGTATATGCAGATGAAGACAGTGTAGGTACACAGTATATACACACCAAGGCTGACTAAGATGTGGTATTCAGTGTTTTCCCTTGAATTTCAATGGGATTTGGGCACCTACCTCTCTCAGGCTCCTTTGAAAAACCCCATCCCAAAAAAACGTATGGCCCGGATTTCAATAGGGATTTTGTCTGACATTTTTTGACTGACCAACTTGAAACAACTTAAAGGTGTCTGATTTTCCAGAAAGCAGGAAATCAACTTTGATTTCCTGCTTTCTGGAAAATCAGAAAGCACCTGAACATCAGGCCCTCTTAACGTCTCTCAATTTGGATCTCCCAAAATTGGGGCACCCAAAATCGCTGATCACTTTTGAAAATCTAGGGCTCTGCAAAGGACTTACAGTCAAACCCTGAAGAATTACAGCAGTGGATGATTATAAAGAGTCACTTTCTAGTATACAATATTGAGTTTTTAAATATTGAAGCAATTAGTCAACATTAGTAATAATGATCTTACATTTATAGAAGTACTTTACACCAAGTTCACTTTAACCTTCACCTCTGAGGTTAAATGGAGCAGCTACCTAAATAGCCACAAAGCAACACAACAACATAATTTAAGGCAGGAAGTGAAAGGGACAACATTTAAAATTACAGAGGGAATTTGGGTAGACAGAATATATTTATCTATGGTGAAGTTTGTCAAGGACACAAGTTAACAACTCAACTTCTATGAAAAGTGCCATTGGATTGTAAATTACCATCTACAGTAAGGATTTTGGGTTTACATTTAATCTGAAAGACAATCTCCAGTAGCACATTGCTCCTACTTACCACCAATCTCATTTCCTGAAGGTGTACCTTGGCAATCTTGCTCCCAAGTACTGACCAGGCCCGATCTGGCTTTGCTTGAGATCTTGCAAGATCACAGCACAAGATGGCATGTCCCTGGGAGAGAGGGGGAGAGGTCTGTTTGTTTTTTATAGAAATGCACAAGTGTCTAAACAAGAAAAAAAGTGCCAGGGCAAAAATGAAATAAAATCCACCCAAAGCACTGTTATGAGTTAGAAAGGTAGGACCTATCCATAACTTAAAAACAAGTTGTGTCATCAGAATAATGCTTCCTGCACCACATATTTTTCATGTAACTTCAATTAAAGAAAGCTTATGGATAGGACACTTTTGGAATGCCAATAGAAGATGCAGCACTGGATACAACATTGACAGTGTAGTATGAGCCTTTTTCTTATACAGCAAATGGATCAAGTTACACAGTAGATGTATTAAATTGGAATGTATTTTTCTTTAGGTTTTATTGAATGTACTGCTTATCACTTTACAAACATATTCTGTGCTATTGTCTTAGACAATTCATAAAAATATTTCAGGTGATTCCATGGCTTGGACTCCCAGTAGCATTGAAACAACCATCTGATATTAGCCTTGAAATATATGATCCTTTATTCCATGCATTAGCTCCACAGAGGATAATACAGGTTAAATAACAGAAACTATAAAGGAAATAACTAAGTTAGTTTGAGAGTAGCAGCCGTGTTAGTCTGTATCCGCAAAAAGAACAGGAGTACTTGTGGCACCTTAGAGACTAACAAATTTATTTGAGCATAAGCTTTCATGGGCTACAGCCCACTTCCTCGGATGCATCCGAAGAAGTGGGCTGTAGCCCACAAAAGCTTATGCTCAAATAAATTTGTTAATCTCTAAGGTGCCACAAGTACTCCTCATCTTTTTAAGTTAGTTTGCATACTGTACTCTTCTTGGTTAGAGTTATTAAAGTTACCTTGTGATGTTCTCGGACAGTCGCATTTCACAATAGTGAAATATAACAAGCCCCCCCGCGATAATACCACTGTGAAAGAGGATTATTGTGCTAGCTAACAGAGGGATTCTGTAACATTAATTTCTCAAGAAGGCATTTCTCTAGGTTGTGGCTATTGCTACAAAGTATGATTTAAATATCCTGTTTGTTAAACAAATAAAATAATAAAATATGCAAATCTTACACTAGTTAGCAGTGACTTATTCTGACACACTTGCAACAAAACCACATACTGCAGATTAAAAGGGACATAGTCATGTTAGGTCCCAAGGCAGGCCTGTGGCTGGTCTGCCATGAGTGCGACTCTCTTTGGGGAAAAGATGACTTTAACCCTCCCTCTCCCCTCCCCCGAAAGTAACTTTTGAAATCTTAAAATTCATCAGCAAGAAACAAAAAAAATATATATCTGACTTTCAGTACAACTTACTGTAAACAGATTAGTGTTAAGTGCACCACAAGTGACAACAGAGCTAGCCAGTGCTCATGTGCAGGAAGTAGTAAGAGCATCTGTCTGAATTTTAAATCACCAGCGTCTCCTAAATGAGCAACTCCAAAACATCCAGAGTTGAAATTGCCAAAGAGAATTTAAATGGACACATCATTAAAAGAGGCTGGTTTGTAACCGAGGCCCTCGTGTTAGATTTATTTTTATTTAAGGTGTCAGCAAGTTGTACACCAGAATTTATGGAGTCTGCTCCTCAGAAAATATGTTTGTCAGTAGGACAAAAAGAATAAGAAAGGTATCTTGAGAAGCTCACTGTTGTAACAAAGGTGGGGCTGGAACAGTGGTTAATATGAATTACAGTGGTGTGAATCCAGAACAGTGCCATTAAAATCAATGGGTTTAATGCACAGAGTTTAAAGTAAAGGAAGAGCTGGTCCCCATATATTCAAAACACAAAACTGCTTCTCTGGGTGACCTGCCGCCAGCTGTGATTATTAAAACTGAAAAATTTGTAAAATGTCATTTAATTTTTATCATTAATGCTGTTTTACTTTTGGAATTTCACCCATCTTGGACAATGAACATTGACCAGTCAGGTTAATTTTGTTTTAGTCACTTTCAGATTCTGGGTCTGTGCTATCAAGTTTGGGTTGCAAACCAGGCAAAATAAAATTTTGACTGATTATTTTTAAATGTCATGAATACATTCCCACTGATATTAGGTTGTGGGAAATGCATTTTCTTTAAAGAAAACCAGAATTTTGGGTCTGACCTACCTGACGGTGTCTCTTTCAGTTTGAGACAGCCTAACAATACTTAATGTCCCATTCTTTGGGGATTCTCTCGTAGGAGCCTGAAAATGTGGCAAACATCAGTTTTCTTTTCCTCTCTGTTCTGAGTGGATCTGAAATTGATATAGCCAGTATCTAATGTCAATTTCAGTGTAGACTAAAAAGCTTTCCTTGTTGACAAAGCATCACTTTACTGATGGAGATTCTGGGGATAATCTTTCCCACTTCACTGTTGCTGCAGAGACAGAAGGGAAAAGGAAACTATGGTGGGAAACCTTATTGTTTCTGAATTTCTTCATGAAGCGTTAGTATGAAAAGCAGGACTTTGCCTAGAGAACTGCTTAACATCCCAGTTTCTCAGGACTCCTGGATTGTCACATTACAAATCAGTTACAAATACAATGGAGACAAGTCATTTAACTGGCCTCTGCCTCAGTTTCCTCATCTGTAAAAAGTGTGGATGAGAATACCATCTTTCTCAGAGGCATTGTAAGGCACAAGCTTTTTAAAATCACATTAAGATAATCAAATGAAAGGTGCTTTATAAGTTAATGATCATGATTTTAAATGCCCCTCCCCTCCTTCTTCTGTCATAGCATCACCATTTTTGGTTCCACAACATAATTTAAAACTTTTAGAAGAATGGGAAGTTATCTGATTGTTTGATACTAAGAACCTCAATGGTTTCCCCTTTAAGTGTTTTACTTCTTATTTTGTGTAGCAGTATTCTGCCTTTTACAATTAAGAACTAGAACAACTGCAGTCAATCACATTAAAACCATTGTCGAGCTTAAGTGGCCATAGAAAGTTGGCAAAGCATAGAGCTCAGGACCTGAAACTTGGAGGAACATCTTCTATCCCTGCATTGCAGTTTCTGCATCATCTCCCCAGAATCAGCTCACATGCTGGGGAAGCCTGGAGCTATACTTAAAAGATCCACAAAAACAATAAAAGGGCTCTGGTGACCTCTTGTGGCAAGTTGGGCAAGGACAAGTAGATAAAAACCCAGGCTCCACTTGGGGGCAGACTGCTAGCAGAATGCATTTCTGGTATAATGCAGTGACAGCCAAAACATGCATTATTGAGCTATATCTAATCAAAATGTCAGTCATATATTTCTTGATGGAATATGTTGTAGCCTAAAAGCCATCCATTCCTTCAATGGATCTCAAGTTTCTTTATCTTCATAACATGAGAATAAAGCCAGGGAAGTCTACAGCTGTTTGGTTAGGACAACATGTTTTTCCTCTTATTAGCAGATAGTACAGGCTGGTGATGCCTAGTTAGTTCTAGGCTACAAACTGATAGCCACCAATATCCAAAAGTAAGGCTTATCTAAATTAGAAAACTTGCATCTTTCACTTAAATCTATTTAAAGGCAGTTTAGTTACACCTTAATGTAGATGTACTTAGACAGGTTTAATAATAATACACTGATGTAGTTTAACTCATTAAATTACCAAATTAAGTTAAAATAGTTTAAGTGCATTTAGATCTATTTTGGTTGCGTCAGTGAAACAAAATCTATAGTGGTGCAAAAAAACTGTAGATCAGCCCTAAAGCAGTTCAGAAAAATTATTCACAGACAGCCAATCAACTGCGCCAGTGTACCAGATTTTTAAAATGTAAAATAAATTACTGAGGTGTTTAAGTTTGCATATTGGAGATAAATGTATTTAAATTAACTTAAGATGTCTCTGATAGAACACAGTCTTCTAAGAGGATCAACTAGGATGCGGGGTCCAATGGTTAGAGCTGGCAGTCAGGACTCCTGGCTTTTACCTTAAAAATAATGGTACAATAATGGTCCAAAATCCTAAATATTACATTTGTTACACTCAGTGATTTGGGATTGTAATTTTAATATAATTTTACTATAAAATACTCAGGTAATATATATTCAAGTTTAGCTGTGCTACTGACTCATTAACACCCTGGGCAAAGCACTCACTTTCTCCATCTGTAAAATGGTCAGAGAGGGCAACAGTTAATGCACGCTGTATTGCGCAAATCATTTTCCATTTGCAGTTTGCTGCCATTGGATATACAGAAAAGTAACACAAATATTGAGCCTACATGACTACAGATAAGATGTACATCTTCTTAAAGAAGGGACCGTATGTATGTCAAGTCAATGGAATATGATTTAGTTATTTACAGACTGTCTGATTCCCACCCATTAATGCGTGTAGTGGCTAAAGTCCACCCAGCATGGAGTGTCTAGTAAATTAAAAAAAAAAAAAAGGACTGCTTATCACTGTAGAGTTTCAATTGCACTAGAGGTAAAAAGTCTCTGTGTTGGAGGTTGTTCATATATTTTTTCAGGTGCACAATTCACACAAATTGCTCCCTTAGTAATCCTTTGGGGACCTTGTAGCAGTAAAACATCCTCTTGGGACCACAAAGCTGGCCATTGCAATTCCCTCTTTACAGGATTTCTCAATCACTCACAACTTGTTTGGAATGCAGTATATTTGCTAGTGGATTTGAGCAACTGAGATTACATACCTGCCTTTTGCTCTTTTCTGTCAATAAAGGGGTGGGTTGATGTTACACTGCCATTTGCTGGTTCTTAAAGCTCTCTGTAGCGTAGGCCCGTTATATTAGAGATGTCTATTCATCAAGCCTCATCTATGCTCATGCATCAACCATCTTTTGTCAGATGTCAATGTCACGTCTTAGGTTGGTAGGCAATTTCCTACTTTATTATGAGGGCCCCTAGGATGGCTAACTATCCCTCCTTGAATGTTAGTCTCTCTTCCCGCATTTAAAAAAAGCAAGATTTTTTTCATCTTTCAGGTTATTTTTTTAATCTAAACACTGCTGGCCAATTAAGGGGCTATATTCTCCTTCCCCTTTCACCCATCTTAGTAAGTTGTATTAACAATATCAAGCATTTTGTACCCTATAGTTAACATTAAAATGTGGCCTATGTACACAAATTCATTCTCCACTTACCTAGAGTTCTGTGGCCCTTGGGATGTTAGTAGACTGCAACATCTTATTCCATAAACATATTTGTTTTTAATATAAAGTTAACTCCTTTTTTAAAGAATCCAAGCATACACAATAGTACTGTTTACAGCTTTTAAAGCAGGCTACAGTCATATTGTAGAACCATGTTTGAACCCTGCTGGGGAGGATGAGATGAAGAGTCTTGTATGCCATTCACCATATCACCACGTGCATGTGCAGATGCCCTAAACTGGTTCTGAGAACCAGTTCCTTAAAGATCAGTGAAAGAGTGAGTTTCATTGAAGATTTGTAAACAGGTTGATTTTTTCAAGTACAGAACAAAGACTATTGACTTTTTTGGGAGGGTAGGCTATTCAAAGATTTTGTCCTGCTACCTTTTCCATTCTGTAGAATACAAACCAGTTCATTTTACCACAACTATATAGAGAACCATGTCTCAAAACAATGTGGTACAGTGGACTGAGCACTGTCTGGAAGCCAGAAACCCCCAAAGACTAATTCTGACTCAGATACCAGTTTGCTGTGT